GTGTCTTTGTACTTCCATATAAATGTTATGATCATCTTATCAATGTACATGCACATACTACATGCACACTCAAAAACAAAAAGTCCTGCTAGGATTTTGATGGGGATTGCCTTGAATCTAGAGATTGATTTGGACAAGACTGACATTTTTATGGCATTGAACCTTCTAAATCATGAATAGGGGCTGGGGATTTAGCTCAGCGGCACAGCGCCTGCCTGGCAAGCGCAAGGCAGTGAGTTCGATTCCCAGTACCAGAAAAAAAAGAAAAAAAAATCATGAATAGGGTACATTTTCATTAATTTACATGTATTTAAGTATCTCAGTCATGCTTTATAATTTTCTATCTAGTGAGTGACCTTGCACTTTTTTGGTTAGACTTATTTCAGGTGTTTGATATTTTTATGGTGCATACATGTTGTTGTCCTTTTTCTTTCCCTTTTTTTTTTTTCTTTTTTTCAGATTGAACCTAGGGACTTTGCACTGAACTATATCCCCAGCCCTTTTTTATTTTGAGACAGGGTCTTTCTAACTCACTAAGGTGTCCAGACTGGGCTCTAACCTGTGATCTTCCTGCCTCAGCCTCCCAGAGCTCTGGGACTTGCTGTCCTTTCAGGTCCTCTAATTGCACGTTGTTAGGCATCTGAAAAACATTTCATTTCTAATACTAATCTCGCATCCAATAACTTTGCTAAATTCACTCACTTATTCTAATAGTTTGTGTGCATATTTTTGGGCCATTTCTCTCTGTACCATTGTGTTCTGTAAATATTAGCAGTTTTATTTCTCCCTTTACTCACCTTTTAACTTTTTATGTCTAATTGCCCTGCTACAGTCAGAAGAGCTGGACAGAAGGGTTGACAGTGGGACTTTGTCTGCTCTTGATCTTAGTAAGAAAGCACCTAACATTTCCCCATTAGGCCTGGTGTGTGTGTGTGTGTGTGTGTGTGTGTGTGTGTGTGTGTGTGTGTGTCTGTGTGTGTGTTAGTGATGCTTCATAGCGTTGCTCATTTGGACACAATTTTCTGATCAGAGAAGGCTCCAAGAAGCCCTGCAGCAAAGCAGAGAGAGTGCCTGGGACCCGGCTGCTCCTGTTAAGAGTTGAAGGGGTGTCTCGAATGACTCAGGAACACAGCCAGGTGGGGTCACGGCAGAACTGGAGTTCAGCTCCCAGCAGCCCCTGCACTGCGGTCAGGAGAGGGAGGCAGCCAGCGGCAGAACGGTGCGCACAAGCTTGTTTAGGAAGGAGCAACTCTGCCCAAGTGCTGGACGAGAGGTCCACAGATCCGTATGAAGAAGGGGGCAAGCAGTGCCCCGCGCAGCCTGAGAGGAAGGGGTGCCAGGTAGAGGCGGCGGGCAGGGCCTCGGGGCTCTCAAACCCAACCCTGTGGAGTGCAGAAGGAGGCTTTGGAGAGAAAGCTTCCTCCCTGGGGTAGTACGGAGGCCAGAGCTCCGGACAACGGCCCCACGCAGAAGGCTGGCCTTGTCTCAGCTTCTCACCGTGAAGTCCAGGGATGACAGAGAGAAGGCTGAAAGATGGGAAAAAACAGCAGAAAAGGAAAGACAGCCCTTGAGAAGGAAGTGCTAGACCCGGAGTCCACAGTGGGAGCCACACGAGGGAGCTGAGCCCACAGCGGCGGTAGGAGCGGGGAGAAGCCGGAGGAACGCAGCCCCAAGCCCAAGCCCAGCGGGCTCCTCCCCCACTCTGCCCACGGGGAATGCGCGGAATGCGATGAGCTGATAAGACCCGGGTCCACCTGGCACGGCTGGGGTGTTCGCCACACCCCCCTTCAGAAGGGATTTTCTTGGGGAAGGGGGTCTTAGTGAGCATCGCTTTAAAGCAGGGACTATGGGGGTTTGCCCTTTCTGTGGGGCAACCGGGCCAGGAGCCACGGCTGTGGGCACAGCCAGATGCTTTGCAGCTGAGCTGCGGAGTGAGTCACTAGGGCCAGGGCTGGCTGCGGAGGGAGTCCTGCTGCCGGGAAGGTGGCACAGGAGAGGGAGAAGGGGAACAAGGCCGGGCGAGGCACTTTCAGGAAGTGGAGCACCGAGGCTGCTGAGCAAAGAACCCAAGAGGGGCTTAACCCTCCGCGTGTGCCACCCCGGCTTGGCTTAGAGTCCTTGGAAAGCAGACAGGGTCTCCTGTGGCCCTCGCTGGGGAGCCCCGGGGTCCTCCCCTTCGGTTGAGGCCAGTCCCTCGGTACCCACGTGTACCATCTGGGCGGGCAGCTGAGAAAGCCGCCAGCAAGGGCAGGGGGAAGGCGGAAGGGGGCTGCTGGTGGTTTGAGGTTGAGCTTGGCTGGAGGAAGAACAGAGATCGAGAAACCTCAGCCCCAGGGACCGCTGTGTGGCTGTACCTGGGCCCGGCTGCGGGCGACCTGAGGCTGAGGAGGGAAGGGATCCAAACCTTGTCCAGGGCCCACTGCCCGCTGGCTCTAGCACGGAGCACAGGGCGAGGGCCACCCTCCCATGTGGCTGCACTGAGCGACGACCCTGGTAGCCACAGCCCTGGCCTACAACCATTGCCAGCACAGCCTGCAGGACCAGGGGCCATCCCCTATGTCCTGGGTGCACCCAGCACCATGCCCGCTTGGACTCCTGAGAAACTGAAAGTGCTTGGGAAAGAAAAAACATGAGTGGAGGAGTGGGTAAATAAATGATAGGTGAAGAAACACATCCGTCCAAGTTTATCCCAGGTTCCCAGCAGCCGGAGTCCTCTAGAGGTGGGCGGGCCTGCCACCTGGTGGCCACAGGGAAAACTGCAGGTCAGGGCCCAGCCTCCGCCTTCAGCCCTGCGCGGTCACAAGGGTGGTCCGGAGCCTCCTTTTTCCTCCCTCCCGCTTCCTGGACATTCCACCTTGTGTTCCCCCACACGCAGGCAATATTATGTTATTTCTTCTGCGGAAAGAGATTCCTCCTTCATCCTCGCCCCTTAGAAGAGCCTGCCTGCCGTCTGACCCTTTTTTCTTTCTCCCTCTTGTCCCAGGCAGAGGGTGAGAAGGCTCCTCACCCGCAACCCGGCAGAAGGGTGCACCTGAGAGGCCCAGGGTCCAGCTGCGAGGAGTTCTGCCCGGTCCTATCCGTGCCTCTGGCTCTCACATCTGGTCCATTCCACCGTCCACACCGAATGGTCCCTCCTGCCCCGGGCCCTGGTCTCACAGCTGCTCCTCCCAGGTGTCCTGGGTGGCAACGTGTGGGTCTCCATGGAAACAGGAACAAGGTGTTGTGTGTGGACAGGGTGTCATGTGTGTGAAAGGATTTATTATGAGGAAGTGGCCCACAGCATGGCAGAGGCTGACAACTGCCAGGATCCATGTGCTAGAGGCCCAGGGGAGCTGACAGGCCAGCAGGTTGGGGGCCCAGGAAGAGCCCTTGCTTCAGTCCAAGCCTGAAGGGAAGAGAAGCTGACGTGCACGTGGGAGGATGCGTCCCACCCACGGGAAGGTCAGCCTGTTGGTTCCACTGACTGCATGAGGCCCGCCCGCCGGGGACGGGCTGCTGCTTTAGTCCACGGACGCCCGTACGAAGTCGTCAGAAACGCTCAGAGGACCCAAGTCACATCCCACGAAATATCTGAAGACCCCGTCCCACCCTGTCCCAGTCAAATTGCCACATAAAATTACACGGCCACTCACCTCCTCCAAGGCCCTTTTCCAGGGCTGCCGATGGATGCCCAGCACCTCGGCGGGGCCAGGTCCTGATGGGCCTGGCTCGAGGGGACAGGTCTCCGGGCCGGGCTGGCCAAGACTAGCACGGCAGGGCTGGCAGAGGACGGACCGCGGGCGTGAGTGCGCTTTCCACCGGGAGGTGCGCCGCGTGGCTGTCCGCAGTGCCTGTCCCTTGTCCTTGCTCTGCCCACAAGCCTGGTCGTTGTGTCCACGTGGGTGATGGGGCGTCCAGCCAAAGAAGAAGGCCGAACTCTGGTCCTCAGGGAGCTGTGTAAACCTGCAAGGTCTCCCGGGAGCAAAGCGGGGGTGGACATCGTCCCCGGGGCGGGGTTGGCCGATGCCGGCTGCTTTGTAAACGCAACTGCATTTATGTGTGGTCTGCGGCTGCTTTCTTTGGTGACGAGGCCATCTGGCCCTTTGTACGGTTTTCCGTCTCCCCGGTCGCCGGTCCGCTGGTTCGTGCATGATGTGACCGTCAAGGAGAAGCGGCGAGGTGCCTGGGCTCCACTCTGGCTGGAGTCACAGAGGGGAGGGAAGTCCCTGTCGTCGTCCCTGCCTCTGGGCGCCTGCAGGCTGCGCGAGGCAGAAAGAACCTGTGTCTCCACGGAGGCCCTGCCATAGTGACCCCGTTACCGTTACCTTGTGCCCAGGAGCAACCCACAACCAGCCACTAGGAAACATGAAGGAATGGGAAGGACCGAGGGACGGCGGGAGGAAAGTGCGCAGGGCTCAGCTGGGGCTGTGTGTCTCGTAGCCCGCATAATCTCCAAGCAAGAAGACATCAGCCAGTGCGAAGAAAGGGCCAGACGCAGGGCGCATGCGCTCCAAGGCCAAAAGCGGACGTCCCCCCCACCCCGCCCCCCGCGCCTCCGGGCCGAGCTGCCCACTCAAAGCCTGCGGGCTCAGTGCTCAGGTCTGGAGGGGTCAAGGGGCTGGGGGACAGCCATCCTCAACCCCGCAGACGCAGACTGGGAGGGCTTGGTGCAGGAAGTCCTTAAACAGAGACTGTGGGTGGGGCAGGGCAGGTGGGGAGGACGGAACTCGAGGGGTATTTGGGCGGGCGGGCAGGTGGGGGGCTCAGTCACACCGGGGTGGGACCCACTGCAGCCCAGGAGAGGCACGGGGCTGACTGCATGATGGTGCCACCTTGGAAGAGAAACGTTAAGGGATGAAGGGTTCGAGCTCCTACATCTGGCCTTTGAGCGGCCTGTGGGTGTCTATGTCTCAGCGGCCGGAAGACAGGGAGGACAGTTTTGGTTTTTTGTTTGTTTCTTTATTTGAGACAGAGTCTCACTATACAGTTCAGGCTGGTCTTGAACTCACTATGGAGCCAGGCTGGCCTTGAACTCGCAATGATTCTCCTGCCTCAGCCTCCCAAGGGCTGGGACAATAGGCCTGCACCACTATGCCTGACCAAGACACAAGCTTTAAATTCTGGGAAATGGTGCAGGAGAACTGTGAGGGGAGGGCAGGAGACCCTGGGGGACACCCCTGAGCACCTACTGTGTGCCTGGCTGCGTGTTAGGTGCAGAGGACAGAGCAAGAGACCAGCCGTGGTCCCTGTGCTGTCAGGGAGAAAGCCCTGCCAATGGATCCTTTCGGCATACTCCAGTAAGAGGTAAAGTGGATGCATGTTTGTTTGCTCTCGGGACTTGGCAAAAATGATTTAGCGGGAAGCACTTTGGCTGTCTGCCACGGGGTAATGGGCAGCTGTGCCTGCTGCGTGGCATCTACGCTGCTTCCAGGAAGGGTCTCTGAGCCTCCCAGCAGGGAACCTCCATCTCCACAGGACCCAGGCGCAGCCACTCCCTTGGAGACACCAAGGGTAGGCGTGTGACCTGGAGACACCCCAGGAAATTCACTCCCACCACCAGCCTGGGAAGCACTTTTGCCGCTGTGGCTGCCGGGAGAGGGGACCCAAGGACAGCAGACAGACAGCTTAGACCTGGTGACATCATGCCGACAAGCACCGTCACTGTGGCAGGAGCCGCCTGGCCCTGGCTGGCAGGTGGCAGCGGGTCCCCTTACCCCGTGTGACCGGTTTCATAGTCACCTTGGCACCCAGCCACACCAGAGCAAAGCTAAAAAACACAATAGCATGTTTTATGTACACATATTTTGAAATGTAAAATATGAATATAGGTATTTATTTGAAATTGGATATTATTTTCTATTATATGCTTTTATGGTCCACAAAGGCTATTAAAAGCTTTGCGTAGTGGCAGTATCAAAGCCATGAGGTTTATCCAAGGCGCAATTATTGCTAATTGAAAACTTTTCCCAAAAAGGCTGTGAAATAAAACAAGAGGAAAAAGGGCAATTGTATTATTGGAGTAGAGTCAATTAAACAAATGAGTGAGAAAAATATAACACTGTTTTTATAATATCTTTTTCTATGTAACTTAGCTTTCGATAGAACTTAACTCTTTTTAAACTCTTGGAGCCAGGCATGGTGGTGCACACCTGTAATCCTAGCACTCGGGAGGCTGAGGCAGGAGGAATTCAAGGCCAGCCTGGGCTCCATAATGAGTTCAAGGCCAGCCTGAACTAATAGAGAGACCCTGTCTCAAAACAAAAAAACAAAAAGCCAGGATTCTTGGAGCAGCCCCTGGCCCCTTTCCTTCTACTACAACTCCATTCCAGCCCATTTCTTGCTTAGATCTTGGTCTCCCCTGAGTTAGAGACTGGTCGCTTCCCTTCCAGATGAATTCTCCACTCCCCAAGGTACTGACAGCTTTGGCAACGCTCATCCTGGAGCCAGGCTTCTTCGGACCAGCCCCGCCGCCCTGGAGTGGAATCTGTGTACCTGGTGGTGCCGGGCGGGCTGGTGTCGGACGGTTGACTTGTGTTTGGATCTCAGCGTCCTGCCGGCTCCTCCCTGCTGGCCTCCCCAGCCTCGCTCCTGGTCTTCATCTACAGCTGCCGCCCGAGGCACTCGGGGTGGGGGGGTCCTGCACTGGGCCCGATGGAACCTTGGTGTGGTTCACGTCTGGGCACTTGCAGGCCTTGTGCGCTCGGCTCCATGCTGCTCCTCCGGCCTGGGGGCCCTGGCCTCCCCTGGGGCTCTGCAGAGCCAGCAGTTCCTGCCCCAGGGGTAGGAAGCCCTGTGTCATCTGTGCCCCTGCCAACAGCCTAGTGGCCTGCGTGGCTAACAGGCTGCCAACACCCGCCCTGCTGTCCCAGAGCCTCTTCTCCCTGGTGCTGGCCCTGCGGGACGCCGTGGAGGTGACTGCACGTGGCCGCCTTCCTAGCCCACATGTGAGCAGCGCTGTGGCTCCGGCCATCCTCCTCTGGACCCGCTGCCGGCCAGCACTGGGGCTGCTGGCCTCGGCTGCCTGCCTCCTGGCATTGCTGGCCGTGTGCTGGCAGAGATGGTGAGTGCTGCGCACCGGGACATCACCCTGAGCAGGGCCCCCCGGGCGCTGTCAGCTTGGTGCCCGGCTCCAAGAGGGTGCCGTTTGGCTCTGTCACCCGGCCCTGGGATCCGAGGCCTGACGCTGGGTCCTGAGTCACATCCCACAGCGGCCAAGCTGGCCAAGGCGAGGCAGGGTACCAGGGGCCCCGAGGTGGCCCTGGGAGGGTCCCAGGACACCAGGACAGGACCCCTTCCTGAAGAAGCACCCTGACCAGAGGCAGAAGAGGAGAGGTCGGGGTCATCAGGGCCACCCCTGCCCAGGCCAGAGAGAGACTCAACGACATGGAGCCCATAGCTGAGTGAGACCTGCAGAAGCCGCTGAGGGGGAGCCAAAGGAACACGTCATTCACCAGGACCAAGCAGGACCATGCCACCCCTGCCCTGCTGACACCCATGCCCGTGCCAGGCCTGCACTGACGCCACTCCTTTACCACGGCAACTGACCGATCTGTCCCCAGGGAACCAAGCAGATGCCCCATGTCTACCTCAAAAGACACCCTCCCTGCCTACCACCCTCCATGCCCCGCATGGGCACCTGTGCCAGGGCGGAAGGAGCACCTCCCTCTGGCCCTGTGCTGAGTACCGTGCTTGAGCCACAGCACCAGGGCCGGGCGATGGGACCGTTCAGAAGACTGCGGTGTGGGCGGGGCGGGTTACCCGGTTTCTCTGCCCCGGAGGGTCCTGGTGATGCTGAGGGTAGCAAGGATGTCAGTGGGCAAGGCCCTGGTCCTGCTGGCTCTGTCTCTTCCAGCTGACCCTGGGGCCCGCCTGGATGCCAGCCTCTGGGGCCACCCCTTCTGCTGCCGGCTTTCCTGCTGGGGTTCTGGGTCCCCTGCCTCCTTCCACCCCTCCCCGCTGCTGCCACCGCCGGCAGCTACCACACGTCAGTGTCAGTGGGCATTTTGACAGCTCCGGGGCGTGGCGTGGTATTGAACCTCTGCATTCAGCCAGAAGCTCCGCACCCTCTCAGATTGGGGACAAAATCTCTCAGGCGCCTCTAGAGCCATTCCGTCAGGGCGTGCTCTCGGGAGCCTCTGTCCCAACCAGATCCAAAAGCTGGTGGGGGGTGGGGGGTGTCTACACCTGGCTTTGGGACCTCCCTATCCTCAGGAACTCCAGCTCCACGATGAGCCTTGGGTCTCGCACATGATGTTACACGGCGCTCATTTCACTGGGTCCTGGCAGAAAAAGCCGGGGCCCTGAGGGTTCTCTGCCCACTAGATTTTAATAAACAAACAAACTCTATGGACTGTATTACTGTGTATGCTTAAGACATTCTACGTGGCTTGCTGTCAGATGTGGGCGCCGTGGAGGGTCCCTGAGGGAGCTCTAGCTACACGTCTAACAGGAGGATCTAACAGGATGCAGCCTCTGTAGCCCATAGGCGGCAGATCACCATGAATACTAAAATACACAGAAACTTTGGAGCTGAAAAAACAATAAGTGAATTGAAAAATTCCCTAGAGGGCATCCACAGCAGACTGAACTAAGCAGAAGAATTGGTGAACTTGGACACAGACCATTTGAAATTACCAAGTCAGAGGAACAAAAAAAAAAATGAAGAGCGGCTCAAGGATTTAGAGAATGCCATAAAGCATTAGAAAAAGCTGCAATAATAAAAACAGCGTGGTAATGGTATAAAGACAGACACTGAAATCAATGGAATAAAATACAGAGCCAGACATAAACCCTCACATACAGGGTCAGCTGATATTTGATAAAGGCTGGTATCACACAACTGAGGAAGGGCATTTCTTCCACAAACACTGGGGGTGAAATCGGATATATATCCACATGCAAAAGAATGAAATCAGGGGAAAAAGCTTTGTGGACAGAATTTGGTAATGATATCTTGGATATGATAACAATACCACAGGCAACAAAAGCAAACAGACAACTAGGACTACATCAAACTTTAAAACTTTCACACAGCAAAGGAAACAATGAAAAGGTAGCCTTTGTGATGGGAAAATAATTATAAGCTAGGGATTAGTAACTATATGAAGAATTCCTGCAACTCTGTAACATCAAAAAATTCCCCAAGTGAAACTGGACAAGTAACTTGAATAGGCATATCTCCAAAGAAAATATGCAAATAGCCAATGAGTATATGAAAAATGTTCGACATCTATAACCACTAGAGAAATGCAAAACAAAAATAAAATATTGCCACAAACAGAAGACATTCTAAGGCCAGACGTGGTGGCACATAACTGTAATCCCAGTTGGGTGGGAGGCTGAGGCAGGAAAATCACTGTGAGTTTGAGGCCAGCCTGGGCTACAAAGTGAGTTCAAGTCTAGCCTGAGCTGCATAGCAAAACCCTGTCTCAAAAAGACCAAAAAAAAAAAGAAAGAAAGAAAGAAAATAAAGACATTCTAAGCCTTACATAAATGTAAGTCTTTTTAAAAAGAGACTATACATATAATAGGATAAATTAAGGAGATTACTTATATGTGATATTAATTAATTAATTTATTTATTTAGGGGTGTTTTGGTTTTTTTTCTGGTACTGGGACTCGAACTCACGACCTTGCCTGGCAGGCATTGTGCCACTGAGCTAAATCCCCAGCCCCCTACTTATTTATTTTGATATTTGATTAAAAGTGAAGACAGTGCCATGTATCCCCCTGTTCCGTGGCACAGGAAGAGGTTGACTCTTTTGTCCTCGTGTCTAATAACATGTCTCTGAACTCGAACCTTTTCTGTTAGGAAGCGGGAAATGTCAAACCCATTCTGGGCAGGCTGTCCAAGTCTGCTTGGACCACAGCTCTGCCTTTACTAGGCTCGGGCCGTGCACTTGTCCATCCAGGGCAAAGATACCAAGCTAAATACCCTCTGGTTGAAAGCCTTCAAGTTCCAGGGATTTAGGTCTCAGCAACAGCTGGTTTTTAGGTGTGCAGAAATTCATTCACGGCTCTTCAGAAATGTCCATCCGCTTTGTATTCATGGGCCCAGCTTGGTGGGAAGGCTCCTTATCAGTGAGATCCTTTGTCCTCCATTGGTCTTATACCTGTCTAAAATACCCGTCATTCAAAAATATCTGGGCCGGGCATGGTGGTGCACACCTGTAATCCCAGCTACTTGGGAGGCTGAGGCAGGAGGATTACAAGTTCGAGGCCAACCTGGGCAACAAACAGTGTGAGACCCTGTCTCAAAATAAACAAAACAAAACAAAAAACAAAGGGCTGGGAATGTAGCTCAGCGTTCTCTGGTGTTGAAAAAAAATGAAAAACACTTGGATGTGATCAGAAGTGCAACATTCATAACTCTTCTTTCTTAGAAAAATGCTTTTAAATCACAGAGGTAATTCAAACTTGCATTTGTTGACATTTTGCTTGTGCCTAAAAAACTTCTTTTGGCATCTGCGATAGCACAGGCTTTACGGCTGTTGGTGATCTCATCTTCACTTCACCTTCGTTTTTCTGTTCTATTTTCTGTCCTTTAAGAACTGTCACTGTAAGGGGCTGGGGATTTAGCTCAGCAGCAAAGCACCTACCTGGCAAGCGCAAGGTTGTGAGTTCAATTCCTGGTACCAGAATAAAAATGAAAAACAAAAAAACAAAAGAAAGAAGTGTCACTGTGCCATTTTGCACCTGAAGGAATTCTGACCAGAAGGCCACACTCGCTCTGTTTCCATGTATGCAAAGTATCATTTCTTCCTCTAGTTCCTTAAAAGTTTTTTTTTTTTTTTAAGACAGGGTCTCTTATGCACTTCAGGTTGGCCTTGAACTCACTACATAGCCCCAGACTGGCCTCGAACTTGTAGCAATCTTCCTGCCTCAGCCTCCTCAATGCTGGAATTACAGACATACACCACTATGCCCAGTTTGAAACATATTTTCTTTACCGTGGCGTTTAGTACCTTGACTATGATTTTTCTTGGTGCTGTTCCTCTTTGTGTTTTTTCTCCTTCAGGTTTTTTGGGCTTTTCTTTTTAGTGAGCTTATAGTTTTCACCAAATTTTGAAAGTGCATAAGAATTATTTTTCAAGTACTGTTTTGCTAGCTGGGTGTGGTGGTGCATACCTGTAGTCCTAGCACTCTAGGAGGCTGAGGCAAGAAAATTGGAAGCCTGGGCAATTCAGTGACTTAGCGAGACCCTGTCTCAAAATACATAATTTTTAAAAAGGGCTGGATATCGAGCTCATGCGAAGACCCTGGGGGTTTTATTGGTTGATTGGTTGGGTTTTCTCTTTTGGTTCTGTTGTCATTGTTGTTTGTGGTACCGGGGACTAAACCAGCCCTTTTACTTTTTTTTTTTTTTTCCTGTACCAGGGATCGAACTCACGACCTTGCACTTGCCAGGCAGGCGCTGTGCCACTGAGTTAAATCCCCAGCCCCTCCTTTTACTTGCCCAGGCTGTGCTCGCTTCGGCAGCACATATACTTGCCCAGGCTGTGCTTGAAGTTGCAGTCCTCCTGCCTCAGTTTACCAGAGTGCCTCCACACCTGGTTTATTTTCAATTTCAATTTCTAGTCAGCTGCTGGGGATTAGAGAACAGCTACTACAGTTTTGTGTATTGACCTTGTACGTGGTGACCTTGTCATACAAATTATGATCATTTGTTGATTCTACTGGGGTTTCCAGGAAGATTTTTGTTTTGTTTTGTTTTTCTTCCAGTACCAGGAATCGAACTCACAACTCTGCACTTGCCAGGCAGGTGCTTTGCTGCTGAGCTAAATCCCCAGCCCAGGAAGATGTTTATGCTATCTGCAAAGATAGTTTTCTCTCTTCTCTTCCAAACCATATACTTATTTCTCTGTCTTACAGCTTTGCCTATGTATGATTTTTAATACTATGCCCGATGACAGCAGATTAATGATGTCTTCCTCTTTCTTAATCTTAAGAGGCCACACATAAAATTTCTCTATTAAGAATAGTCTTTCTGGGCTGGGCGTGGTGGCACACATCTTTCATCCCAGCACTCAGGGGGCTGAGGCAGGAGGATCACTGTCAGTTCAAGACCAGCCTGGGCTACAAAGTAAATTCAAGACCAGCGTGAACTACATATCAATGCCCTCCCTAAGAAACAAACAAAAAATACTGCTTCCAAAAACCAAGAGTGTTTCTGCACACCAGTAATGAAGTCACTGAGAAAGAAATTAAGGAAAAATACCATTCACAATAGCACCAAGAAAAATTCAATACTTAGGAATTAACCTAAAGGAGATCAAAGAGGACATCAGAAAATGGAAAGACATCCTCTGTTCCTGGATAGGTAGACTCAATATAGTCACAGTGGCTATACAGTGTAATTCCAAATTTTTTTTTTTTTTTTGGTTTTTTCTCTGGTACTGGGAACCGAACTCACGACCTTGCGCTTGCCAGGCAGGCGCTTTGCCACTGAGCTAAATCCCCAGCCCCCTGTAATTCCAAAATTGATATATAAAATTTAATGCAATCTCAATCATAAAACCAACAGCATTCTTCACAGAACTGGAGAAAACTGCCCTGAAGTTCACATGGAGCCAAAAGAGACCCAGAATACCAAAATCAATCCTGGGCAACAAGAGCAAGTTGGGAGTTATCACAATCTCACACTTGAAGTTATATTACAAAGCTACTGTGATAAAAACAGCATGGCACTGGCACAAAAATACGCAAGGCTTGGTGAAACCAAACGGAGCAGAAACAATCCCAGGCATATTCAACTATTTGATCTCTGACAAAGGAGGCAAAAACATACTCTGGAGGAAAGACAACATCTTTAATCAATGGCAGTGAGAGAATTGGCTACCCACATGCAGAAGACTGAATCTGGACCCATATCTCTCACTGTGCACTAAACTACAATCAAAATGGATCAAAGATCTAAATATTAAAACAGAAATACTTAATCTGCCGGAAGGTAAAATAGTTACATCTTTTGAAGTCATAGGCATAGGGAAGGACTTTCTCAGCAGAATCCTGGTTGCACAAAAAATAATACTGAGAATCAACAAATGGGATCAGATTAGATTAAAAAGCTTCTGCACAGCACAGAAAACAACCAACAGAGAGAAGAGAAAACCCACAGAAACAATGCCAGCTACTCCTTAGGTGGATGACTAATATCTAGATTATATAAAGAACTCAAAAATATTAGACCCTCCCAGGAACAATACCCAGTCAAAAAATTAACATACTTCTTAGAAGAAGTACAAATGGCCAATAGATACAGAGAGAAATGTTTGCCATCACTGGTCATTAGAGAAATGCAAATCAGGGCTGGGAATCTAGCTCAGCGGCACAAGTGCCTGGTTGGCAAGTGCAGA